GTTTAAACATAAAATTGCCTCTCTTGTTCCTAGTCCTCCCTTAAAACCGAATTGTGTTGACCCGCTAAGTTCTTCTAGTATCTTATACATTCTTGAGTGTAATATCCTAAGGAAGAGTTTCAACAAGTGACTCATTAAACTGATTAAGCGGTGTTCATTGCATTTTGTGGCATTAGCTGTTTTTGGAATCATCACAAAGGATGACTGCAGCCATTCTCGCGGAATGTAACCAGTATCATAAATTCTATTGAACAGCCTTACCAAGATTTCGATATTCTCCTCGTCTAGTAGTTTTATTGCTTCTATATTAATTTCATCTGGACCTGTTGCTTTATGCATCTTTGTGGTTCTAACTGCATATTCTATTTCACTTCGCATTATTGATGGCCCTGATAAGTTTTCGGAAGGAAGTTTGCGCGTTGGTTGTGTTGGTCTTTCGTCATTAAAAAGGCTTTCTGCGTATTCTTTCCACGCCATTGCTATCTCTTCTTCTGACTCTATGTATTCGTTTCTGTCGTTGCGTATTCTTGTTCTGTGGTGGCTTTTCTATATATTCGATATTTCTTTGATCTTCTTATGTAGTCCAAAACTATCTCCTTTTTCCTGCAATTGTTCTATTTCGTTGCACCTTTCCACCATCCAACGTTCTTTTGCTTTCTTAATTTTCTGACGGATTTCTTTGTGTATCTGTTTGTATTTGTCTTGATTACGTTGTTGTTTATGTTGCCTTCGCTTTTCCATTAGATCCATAATTTCGTCCGTCATCCATTCGTTATGCTTTATCTTTCTGATATGTGTTTTAACTTCCCTGTTTACAGCCAGAATCGTTCCTTTAATATTATTGACCATCTCTTCGATATCATAATTTTGTCCTATTACTCGCATTCTTTCATTAATTTGATTCGCATAACTCTTCTTTAGATTTTCGTCTCTCATCAGTTCTCTTGTATTTATAGGTGTGCTGGTATTTGTATTTGTTCTCTTAATTTTTGCTAGTTTTAACCTCACATCTGCTATTAGCGGATTATGATCGGATGCAATATCAGCACCTGGATATGCTGCGATTCTTTTGATAGCGTTACGAAATCTTCTGTTTATTAAAACGTAGTCAACTAGTAAATTTAACTAGTTCAACTAAAATGAGATACAAATTACAATATTGTAAAGATATCAAACTCGATAAATCTATTACAATTATATTATATTACATCCAAAAAGTGAGTCTTCAATACTCTTTATATAATGTTTTAAAAAAAAACCACATGAAATTTATTTCCCTTTCCCAAAATCAAAATTCTATTGTATCAAAATGTATTGTATTAAAAAAAATATTATATCAAAAAAAGTGAGTTTGGTCAGTACTCTTGAAATCCTAATTAAAATAAAACCTCATAAAACGGAGAAAGGTATTTTCCCTCTCCCAATAATATCAAAATTATATTTTATCAAAATGTAGTCACTTGATCATATGCATATGAAAAGTTAACAAAATAGATAGTAACAAAAAAAATTACACAGTCAAACAACTTATCTTTACAGCCCCATAAGTCCATAGGAAAATTCCTCTTGGCACGGTTATATCAGTTTGTGGCTGTAAGGACAAACCCAGGGGAGTCTAATGTAGTCAAACCAGGCACTGGTCTATCTGCTCCGAGAAATCGGTAACTCCATAACCAAGTTGTTAACTATTCAATAAATTCTGTAACTATTCCTTGAGGGAATATTCTTAAGAGAATACTCTCAAGTGAAGTGACGGAATCTAAAAGAGTTATGTAATTTAATAAATGCAATTCAATAGCTGTAGCAGCGTGGATTGACTACACCAAAACAAAACATCAAAACATTAGGTATTAGGTTATGTCAACATGTCAGAATTCCGAAGTTACTTCGTAGACATGACAGGCTTGCGCCATGAAATGAACATGCGCAGAATACAGAAGGCTGTCCAATATTTGTCGAACCTTTTTATATTCCACCAAAAAAAGGTTAGATACAAAGGGAACCAAAAAAACTTAATGATAACGACATGGACTAAAACAGAATTTAAGTTTAACTTATAAAAAATGACCTTTTGTTCTTTGCAAGTAAATCAAGGAAATTTTATATTTAAATTATTTCGGAACTCAAAAATAAATCTCTAAAGAAATACTAAACTGCAAGGATAAATTTGATTATATGATAAGGAGATAATACGTATGAAATGATTTACTTACATGGAGCCGCAGCATACCAAAAAAATCTTCCTTTTATATGGAACTCTTATAAATATTGATTTTAAAAATTAATTATTATTATTAATATTTCTATTTTATTTATGAATTAATTTATTCTTCCCCAAATTATTTTCCTTGTTCCAATTCCATCACTTTGAAGGTGAAAAAAATTTCACCTGTTGGCGTGTCTGCGTTAACGAGTCCTGACCAAAACTGATCGTTCTCGTACATACTCGACCAATCTTCCTTTTTAAGCGACTACTGGGCGTGTGGGGAAAAATGTCCATTTAAAAATCGATCGCTGGCGGAACACAAAAATTTTCGTGAGGGGTTAATCAGTAGCGTAAACGCTACATCCTATCTATGAAATTTGTAAAATGGGGTTTTCAACAAATTTAAAGTTTGTGTCCCAGTGCCCATCAGCTTCCAGCCTCATTTTGTTTGTCCCTGGTTGAAAGCAAATAATTGATTTCATAAAAGGTTAACAAATTGTAATAATTAAAATTATAAATGTTAGGGCGTGGCCTAGCTGTCATATTAATTGTTCTCTAGTTCTAAAATTTTATGTTGACATCTGACAGCTAGTTTTATTTTTGACATTTAGTAATTACCTAATCATAACTGAGATCTTGTTTTATTTTGCTTTTAAAAAAAGGTTAACCTCTATGCATAGTTTCCATTTAAAAAGATATTTTTCATTTGTAACAATTTTTTTCTTCAACAAAATATCGCCCATTAATAATTGTAAGTTCTTGTAGTATTTCCAACTTCTAGAGTTTGTAAACGGATAGAACATAGTAAGTTTGTTATTTTGTATTTATTTTTGTACTATTTATAGTCGTAACTGTTTGTGGTGGGATAACAATAAATATTTAATTTTTTTCCTAAACCATTTTGTTTATTTCTTTTAAAAAAGTTCCTAACCCTTTTTTGTGTTTTTTTTTAGAACCGAAGAGCCTTTTCTTTCATCCAACAGGAAGATTCTCCTAAGCGGAGTCCATTTTAAATAGCTTGAGAACACCTTCTTGTATTGTGTTTGTCCAGGAGATTCATGTAAGTATCCCTTTTGCTTTACTTTTTGTAGGTACCCCAATCCAATCCAATCCTGTTATTCACTTATCCATGATCCAGCTCTCCAGAGAAACCCTGAGCAGCCGTTCGCAATATTTTGGTTTATTTTGCTTACCCGATCTCTAGTTATGTAATTTCTGTCGCCAATTTTCAACCCCTTTATAGTAATACCCTATGTCGTAGGCAAAATATTCGTTTTTTCTTACACTACTCTACGGAGTTGAGTCGTGTATATTTTAAATAGCTTGAGAACACCTTCTTGTATTGTGTTTGTCCAGAAGATTCATGTAAGTATCCCTTTTGCTTTACTTTTTGTAGGTACCCCAATCCAATGCCATCCTGTTATATACTTATCCACGATCCAGCTCTCCAGAGAAACCCTGAGTATCCGTTTGCAACGTTTCGGTTTGTTTTGCTTACCCGATGTCTAGTCCCTTAATTTCTGTCACCAATTTTCAACCCCTTATAGTAATATCCTATGTGGTAGGCAAAATATTCGTTACACTATAATTTTTCTTACACTACTGTACGGAGTTGAGTAGTGGACTCTCACAAACGCTACCTATAGGAAAATGAGGCTTTTGAAATGTGGCTTTATCGTAGAATCCTAAAGATATTCTATATCGACCAAGTTAATAATCATGATGATTTATTAAGAATGCAAAAAGGAAAAGAGTTGTTAACCACAATAAAAACACCCAAAATTAAATACCTCGGTCACATCATGAGCAACAGCGAAAGATATGGGTTGCTGCAATTAATTTGTTAAGGAAAAGTAGAAGCAAAACAAGGACCAGGAAGGAGAAGAATTTCCTGTCTGAAAAATCTACATACGTGGTTCAACACAACAGCCACAAATCTTTTCAGAGCCTCAGTTTAAAAATACAGATTAACATGATGGTCGCCAACATACGAAACGGAGAGGTACTACAAACAGAACAAGAAGAGGTAACAACAATAACTGACAAGCATAACGGATCAAAAGAAATAAACAATAGGATACAAGCGGGAAGCAGATATTTTTATGCACTTCACAACCATATAAAATCGAAAGAAGTAACAAGGCGTTTAAAGATAAAATCTATATAAAACAGTCTAAGACCAGGCTGATCTTATGATGATAACAAAGACGGAGATTATAACAAAAACAAACGAAAAGCGACTATGCGTCTTGAAACTAAAAGCCCTAAGGAATATCTATGAGTCCTCGATTGAACAACATGACAATATAGGATAAGAATTAACAAAGAAGTTTATTCAGGCGCCAAAATAATAGAAGAAATTTATCAAAAGACATTTTGACCAAAGAATAATAAAACTGCTTTGGGAAGAAGTTCCAACTGAAAGAAAACCGTGTGGATACCTGAATTACGGTAGCGAGATAATATAGCAGGAGACCTTAAATCTATGGTCGTGAGGAATTAGATGGAGATTGCACAAGGCAGAGAAAGGAATGGAGGCATGTTGCTAAGTCGGCAAAAAAAGCCACGCAAAATTGTAATACCATAAAGTAAAGTAGGGAATAAAGGTAGGAATTTTTGTATTGTATGTCTCCGACAATAATTCTGTCAAATATTCCCAAGCTAAGTGAACCGAAAATAAAAAGTTTTATTTAACAATTTGACAATTTTCCGATTTAACTAATTATTTGCTTACGATTCCTTAAAATAAAATAACTTTCCCACGATAATATGTTTAATCATTTTTTTGATAGTTATTTGTCATAATATAATATCTGTCACTAAAATAATAATTTTGCAATAATATATAAATAACAAGCTATCAATTCATTCAAAGTTATGTCAAAAAAAGTAGATAAGAAAACCAAAAAATCCATTGGTGGTGGTGACCAATCGGAGGCGGATGGATCAAAGATAGACAAACGTTCCCGAAAAAGTTCCCAAAAACCAGATACCAGAAATAATAGTGTGAATCTGAAATTTTTCGAAGACAAACCACATGAGTTTAAAGTTCTTGGAAGCCAGTCCATTCAGATTTTTGATGATTTAGGTATTTATATTTATTTAGATATCATTATGACTTTTATTGCTTTAGAAATGGTATGAGTACAAGAGATGCTTTGTTCGGCTTGAATGTGCTGGCTCAGAGATGCATGGACATGAATCAGGATATGTACTTATGTTTTGTAGACTTTGAAAAGGCATTTGATAAAGTTCAACATAAAAAGCTTTTCAAGAAAAGTATTTCAAAAAGCGCTCTCAGACTCAATAGAAGGTATATCTATCAATGGAGAAGTTTTGAATAACTTACGTTTTGCAGACGATACAGTAATAATTACGGATAACAACAATGATTTACAGAACCTAATGCAACGCCTTAATGAACGCTGTCATGAGTACGGACTGAAGATAAATTTAAAGAAAACTAAATGCATGATCATGACTAAATCTGCACATGCAAATATCCAATTGACTATTGAAGATACTGCAATTGAGAGTGTTAATAACTATAAATACTTAGGAACATAGATAACAGCAGATATAGACCAAACCAAAGAAATTAAGACACGTATTGAAATAGCACGTACATCATTTATTAAACTTAAAAAGTTTCTTTGTTGTCGGGATATAAGGTTAGAACTACGCCTGAGAATGCTTCGATGTTACGTGTTCTCTACTCTTCTTTATGGTTTGGAAGCTTGGACACTAAAACACGTTCATCTGAATAAGTTGGCCGCCTTTGAATTTTGGTGTTACAGAAGAGTCCTAGGAATCACATGGATTCAAAGAATGTCAAACATGGAAGTAACTAGAAGGATAGGAAATGAGGCGGAAATAATACTAACTATAAAAAGACGAAAACTTGAGTACTTGGGACATGTGATGAGAGGGCAAAATACGTATTATTACAACTTATTATGCAGGGCAAAATCCGAGAAAAGCGAAATGTGGGAAGACGAAGAATATTCTGGCTTAAGAACTTAAGGGAATGGTTTAAATGCAGTAGTGCAGAACTTTTTAGAGCGGCAGTCAACAGAGTTCGCATAGCCATGATGATTTCCAACCTTCGATAGAAGATGGAACTTAAAGAAGAAGAAATGACTTTTATTTAAATCTCTTTACATATTGATGTTTAAGAGCCAGATAAAAAAACTATGCAGAAACCAATTATCCTAAATTTATTCCGGTTACCCTTCTGATTATGTGTTTCGTTATCCAAAACAGACTGCCACTTCTGCCGTTTCTAATATTCTCCTTATACACCTTCATCGCCATTGTGGACTTCATCAGTAACCCTAGACTTAATTATTATATAATAATACAAAAACTAACTGCAATATTGATTATAGATGAGGTAGGTTCCAATCATCTTCCAGTGCCGCCAACGACTCCGAGCAATCTTATCCAAGATTATGAGGTAGCTCCGGTCCCAGCCCATCTTCCTAAATTGTCAAAAAACCCTTGGGTGCGAAATATTGGCGTCAAGGAAACCATTAAACGGTTAGCTGATGTTTATGGATGCAAACAGTTCAAGAACAATTTAGTTCAGTTTTGGTTCCTGGATTTTTTAGCTGATTGTTTGTGGAGAGTGCAGGACGAGTACCAGTTCAACGAAAAACAACAGCAGGTTGTATTGGACTGGGTACTCTTTGTGTTTAATTTAATAAGAGGTATATATATATATATATATATATATATATATATATATATATATATGTATATATATATATATATATGTATATATATATATATATATATAGTAATGTGATATCAAGAATTTAAATTTTAAAACTTTACAAAAATTATATATAAATAATTATTAAAATTTTTGATTTATGATTTAAATCACACCCTTTCAATTTTGTTATCTCAGGTTTTACTCGTGCTTTCATATCTATACTTTACAGCTGATGGGTTAGGTCCAAAGAATAATGGAATAAAACAACATAATATGATATGAAAATAATGTAATAAAATAAACTGATTAAAAGACCTCCAAAAATTATTAGCATACAATGTATATCAAACAAAAATCGTTCTACATACGTGAACCTTCAATAATGCATGGATAGTATAATACAATTACAATCTAAAATCGAGCTGATTATTCTACATAAACAAACCAAGTAATATTCAGTGTCCTTCCTAATGCAAGTTTGGTATATCGATTGTACCAAGAAAAATTTGTATGAATTATCCAATTCTCTCCACAGCTCCATCCCCTCTCAGAACAAATTTGATCTCTATCGACTATCGACAATTTATTCACACGTTACTAATATGATATAATATTATTTGACCCAAATTTCTCAAATTGAAATTAATTATGAATGTTTCTCCTGTTGAAACGCTTCCTCTGCCTTGAGTTGTCCAATTCCTCGTTCTATGCAAAATAAACTATCATTTCTCAGCAGCCTCCTATGTAATTGGCAATATTAAACAAGATATTGCAATTTAGTGTCTTCAATGCTCTCCTTCGAATGTACGTACCTTTCCAATGATGCCAGCCTCTTTTACTTTCGCCAAACTTAATCTCTTGTTCCGAAATAAACAGCGATACGTAGAATACAAGTAGGAAAAGTTTACTTACAATTTTGTACCAGAGCAGCTACCATCGGACACACTTACTTCACCAACTCACAACTTATTCTTTATCATTTACTACCCCTGGAGACCACCTCGAAAACCAACCATTCACTTTAAGAAACTGGAACTAACCAACTATCTCATCTCATCTATCCATCCATCCAACCTCTCATTATACACACCCATCTCACCACTTTCCAAATTCTTGGCCAATCAGAAATTTGCATACCACTCCCCACATAAAATCAGAAATACCTACAAACTTTCCTAATTCATATTATTGCTACAAGGACACTTAATTTCTACTGGGTATTTACAGATTCCGAAAAACCATTTACTTAATAACTGTTTTTATTGTCCTGTTCATGGCGCAAAGCCGGATTACGGAATACTTTATGGCTTATGGAAAAAAAACCATCGTTAACTTCTATTCATTTTACCCGCACTTTTAACTTGTTATATTTATACAAAAGATTATTTATGGCTAAGATTACCTTTGGTTAATTCCGGAGTATTTTTACTTTCTATAATCTCTGAAATATTGATTTCATCGTACATTTAATATTTTTAGAACTCAAGACAGACTGAAAGAAACTCAGATCAGAGAATTTCTCGAATAATTGCTGATTTATTAGGAATTATAATACTTATAATAATTACTTAACATTAAGGAGAATGTGACAAGGTCGTGGAGTTTGCCTTTACTCTCTCTATATATTCATAATTTATTTTTACTAAAGTTTAAAGTACGATGGAACGAAATGGTTATTAAATATCTTTAAAGGAGCATAAAGTGAATAAAGGGCATGAAGCAAAAAGTGTAAAATAAATGTATTCCTACCAAATGTAAAAATAACATATATCTGTTGTAATTACTATGCCAGAGTTTTAGAAAATAAACTGATAAAAATAGAGAATAACAGAATGGAAAACACCAAAAAATTTGCAGAATAGATGATAGTAGACTAATCAAAAGGATATAAAACCAAAAACAACATGAAATAGAAGAAAAGGAACATTTAAGACAACATGGACTACCCAATAAACAGTCCAAATGGGTAGCAAAAAAGAAAGCGACGAAAGAAATGAAAGGATTGATCACTGACCAGAACACTGACGAGTTTTGCGGCATGAGGTGTTTATCATTTTACTAAAGTGTTTATTTCTAATTCCATTCTGCTACATTTTCGTTGTTATTTCTTCTACACTTTATTGGATATGTTTTATTAAAATCTGAACTAAAAAATCTATGTAGTTATATAGATTTTTTAGTGTAGTTAGTTTGCAGAAATTAAAAGAAATATATTTCAGATATTTGCAGAATATCTGAAAGAAATTGATACAAAAGCTTTAAAAAAATTATATTCAAGACTTTAATTTATTTTATTTTATCAGAAAGTAATAGGTACACATAGTTTTATATTTACATTTTCAATCATTATCGATATCTGATAATGGTTTGCTTGCATCGTTTGCGAAGTGGCTCAAAATCATCTTTATCGTCAGAACAAGTTGTCTCTGCAATAGAGATTTGTGGTAAAGGCGATAGATTTTCACACTCTGCATTCTCGTTATGTGTAGCTCTTCCTTTTCTGATAATGTAATCAGTAATTAAATTTTGCGATGCTAGTATGTTTTTATGTAGCTTACGATATCCTGACATGCTGTTCTGCAGCTCACGTTGCAAAAAGATGATTTTCTAAGTTACTGCAAGGTTGAAAATCTTCTTGAATTAATTTCGCGGTGAGGGTGGTTGGTTTTTCTTTCTCATCATTATCATCTTCTAGATTCACGACACCGTCTAAAGTTAGATCTAAAGTTTGATCAATTATATCATGGTCACTTAATGCATCATTAACAAGCAATTTATCTATGTCATTGTGGCGGAAGGTATTAAAACCATCTCCGCCAATTTCATTTGCCAAATTAATGATTTCATCTGATAGTGTCGATGCTTGAGGTTACATTGCTTGTTACATATGCTGAAAAAACCCTTCTTCCAACAGGCATTTAAAGTTCTTGGTCGCATTTGAGTAAAAGCAGATGCAACATGAATCAAACAATCAAAAATAGAAAATTTCTTCCACACGTATTTTACTGTTAGGGGCTCATTGTCTAGTTTACCCACGATGGATTTGTAAGTTGCCTTTATGTAATATTTTTTAAAAGTTTTAATTATGCCTTGATCTAATGGCTGAATAAGGCTTTATGACTAGTGTTGACTAGTATGACTAAGTGCTTATGACCTGATCCATTGTCAATAATTATTAAAACTTTAAAATCTAGAGATTTTTTCTTCATGTTGGCTTCTACTTCTGGCACGAAGCAATTATTGAACCATTTTGTAAACATAGCTGTCCAGGGATTCTTGTTAGTCATCCAATGCACTGGCAGTTGTTTTAAGTCTTTGCATTTTAAAGCACGTGATCTTAGAGGTTTATTTATTAAGAGCTGTTTTAACATCCGATTTTCTGATGGATTGCTACAAAGTAAAAAGTTACTCGATCTTTACTTGCTTCATGTCCACTTGCGATGTATGTACGGTTAGGCATTTGTTCCAATACAGTACCGTTTCATTCGCGTTAACCCAGATATTACTGAAACTTTTATTGTTAACATTTTGAATTAATTTCGAATTTTCATGGAAATTATAGCATATGGAACCAAAAAACACAATCATATATTTTTTTATGACGATACCTGTCAAGTTTTGACATGTTCTTTTAAAGGACGGTAGTAATATACGGTACAAGATATCATATATATTTTATTAGTATCAATTTACAAAAAATGAAAGGATTTAAAACAAAATTTTGGATGTAAAGGTATTTTGCACTTTTCACACAAAAACTGGACTTTTTTGTGACAATATCCACATCGCGATTGCTTTTCTTGATAAAGAACCAAGTGGTTAATACCGTCATATCTTGAATTGGCTACCGAATTCGAATTCCGCTTAGAAGGTCCGCGTTTTGTTTCTTTTTTGAAAGTTTCCAAAATATTAGTTGCAGTAGATCTTCTAAATTCAAGTTGATCCAGTTTACCGTCTTGAGTTTTGTGAATCTGCCACGCATTTTGAATAGCCATATCAACGCAATGAGCAAAAAGGAGAAAATACCATTTCTTTCCTCTTATGGACACTCGATATAAACTGATGTTCTGGTCACTGCGATCAACGCCACCCATGAAGTTATTGTATATTCTAACAATATTTGGTTGAGGAACTTGAATATGTTTTTTCTCTGCTTGTGAAAATCTCTTTTCAGAGAAGCAAGGCATTACTGGTACAAAATTGGAACCAATAGAAACGATATTATTATCATGCCAGCGGCAAACCACTATTCCTGTATTTTTATCAAGACGATACTCGTATTTACCATGTTCAGTTTTTTTTCATAATAGATGAACAGGGTAAAGGGCATTTCATGGTGCGATTTTCCCTTACAATGCCTGTACCAAATATGCCTCTTTGTTTTAGCTCATGCAGTAAATGAATAGAAGTAAAATAATTATCAAAAATAAGATGGAATCGCCTTTGAGGCCATACTTCATTCAATCTGTCTGCATAGGATAGAACTACTGATGCACCCAATCCAAGGACTTTATATTGTTCAGGTATTGTAGTGAAATTACCTTGGTAAGGAGAAAACCAAACTATGTATCCCAGACGAAGGGCTCCTACCCATATTTTGTACCCCTAACGGATTGGTTTTCCCCTGATGAATTGTTTTGTGGGATGGCGACCAAAATACGGAACCATTGCCTCATTTATGCTGTGATGTTCTAAAGGGGAAAATTGTATAAATTTTTTGTTTATTACGTCGAACAGGGGTGGCATCTTGGCAAATCTATCAAATTTATCTAATGACAAGTTATTGCAAACATGTAAAACTTTCATTATGTGGGAAAATCTATCCCTAGATATAGCAGCTACCCCCATTGCGTTGTGCGAATCGTCACGATTTTCCCAGTATATGTACCTTTTCGGCACAACCACATAGCCACTCAATACAAGAACGCCTATAAAACATCGAATCTCATTTTGAGTAATGTCGTTCAAAAGATTTCTTTGTCCTGCGTAGATGTAAGTGTATTCGGTAACCAAATTGATGACTTCATCATCAAAAAACAAATTGAAAATTTCCATCGGCGACTGAGTCATTTTCGGTCCAAATTGAGTTTTCCAGTAAGTACAATCAGGGTGTTGATACAAGTCTCCCTGAATCCAGTGTGCAGATATTCTCGTCTCTAATTGATGGGGCAGCTTTTCCTTGGAAAGAAACAAAGCCAATGGTATATTGTCATCATCCGAATCTTCTTCTGGTAGGCTGGAATTCACAGAATCTTGTGGTAATTCATTCGCGTTGTCAAAAACAAGTTCTACATCGTTTCTCATCTGACTACCCGGTAAATTATTTATTGTAGTTAGTTCTTCATCGCCGGAGTCGCAATCGGTGACATCATCATTGGCATTTTCTGGGGGAAATATGATCAAACCATCTGGAGGGACTGGGATTTCATCAGAATCAAGCTCTTCTAATAGCTCATACAATTTGAGAGGCCTCCTGAAACAATACGCACGTTGGTAGTACTAATTACTACCGTCCTTTTAAAAGAACAAAATGAGATCCCAAGCGGCGAGCCTTTGAAACAACGTGAAAACTATTCGAGCCAAGAATATACGTACATAAGTCCCTATTATACAATAATCCACATGCCAATGCCGTGAAATAACAGTTTCTTAATTCTAGACTTAACTAGAATTATAAGCATCCATTTTGTAGTCCAAAACCTGGCAATTTACACAGATAACCTTACAATTACAGCATGTGCGCGCACTAAAATCGTTAAAACTTGTCGAATGCTGGCTCTTGAAAACACTCCATCTAGAGCCATCTATCAGTTGGTAGCTGTACTAACCTAAATTACGCATAATTTATACTGCCTTTTAAAAGGACGGTAGTAATATCTGGGTTAAATACTTGATCGGCAAAATAGTCCCCATCATCAATCATTTTCGCTAGCTCCTGTGGAAATATTTTTGCTGATGCTTTATCTTCTGTAGTACTCTGTCCTGTCATCTCGAAATTATGAAGTGCAATTCTTTTTATAAATCCAGTTGGTCATCCTTTGCTAGCTTGAAAATTCTTGACCAGCTTGGTGGCTCTGACTGTTTCATTACCTTATAAAACTGAATACCTTTTTCATGGATTAAATAACCACTTACAAAAATTCTTCTTTGAATTAGTTCCTCAATCTAAATTGCGAAGGCTCTTTTTGTTATTTTTATGAATAAATCCCTTAAGTAAAATGTAAATTTGGCACTTGATTTTGTACTAGAAATTATAAATTTGCTTATAGCAACTTCGTTTTTCTTAATTGTTCTTACAGTTGATTGGTTTAATTTAAAAATTTTCTTCTTTTCTTAAAAAGTTTTCTTGTTCGTGTATTTGATTTATTTGAATCTGAATTTATTTTAAAGCATATTGCAATCGCTCAAAAAGGTTTTTGCCTCATAAAAATAAATTTTAAACGTAAACGTGACATTGTATCGCTTAAAGAAAAGAAACATACGTGTTTGTTATAATTTTAGGAATGTTATAATAGGAATCAATCACAATTTGGAGAATGCGTTTATAGTATTAGTACGTTATAATGAATTATTCTTTTCACGCTACGACAATTGATTGCACTGAAATTATAAACATCTTGTGCCTCATATATGTTAAAATAGATAAAACAAATTTCTTGTAGAGCCTAATTTGAACTTATCCAGAAAGCAATTGAATAAAATTTTTTCTGAAGCCATTAACGTTGCGGAACACCACATAGAAACTGGCGCTCCATCAATCCCATCTCCGGAGGAATTATTTACCGTAAAAAATTTAAATGCAGATGATACTTTAGAGGTAAGCTTTCCGATACAATAATAATTTTTTAACATCACTTATAATCATTATGTTGTATCCAATAAATTAGTCACTAAATCTATTTCAAATTAATTGCACGTTACGTTGAAAAAAATTAAGCTTTTATTTTATTATTTAGAAAAAAACTGAATCTGAAAGTGGTTCGTCACTATGTTCATCTCTAGAGGAAACACCATGTCACGATGATAAAAGTTATCTAGCAATTGAACTAGATCAAGATATCAAATATTACGATATTCCTTCGAGGATATGTCCCTGGGATACAGATGATGAAGGTAAATATATGCGGCAGAAATAAGAGGATCACAAACTACGCTGATCTTTTATTTATTGTTTTTTTTTTTCACCGGCACCTGTCTGCTAAGATATTTATTAAAAAAAAGGTTAATTAAAATTTATTAGGGAAACCAGGTGTGTCCAATTGGACGCTTTCGAATTTACACCTTTCGCGGTTCAATGGATCCAATTTCAATACAATTTTAATTTCTTAACCTGCAGCAGAAATCGTGCTAGGCTTTGACACATTAGAAAAAACAATTTAAAAATTGAAAACGCATGGATCTTTAGTATATTAAATAAAAAAAATCCGCGGTTAGTACAATTAAACCTAGAGCTAAGATTAATGCTTTTACAAGAATTAATATTAAACTCAATAGTCTTTCGGGTTGAACTGCGTCGATTATTATTGCGCCGAGCTTTCGACATCCTCTTTGATGTCTTCTTCGGGGCTTTTGAGGCCTCAGTCTCACGAGCCCCCCAAACACTACTATACTGATCACTAACTAATGCATTACTGCTATTGGGAACAAATTAACAATTTGGGTTTGGATATTTTCTTTATAAGAGGTCTCTATGTCGAAGATAACCGCATATTGTCATCTCTCTTATTAAGACAATTTGACCTTTTTACAATTTCTATGGCTTCTCGGATAATTCGTGGTTTATAAAAGCGGACGGAGGCTATGGTTCTGGAGTTTCAAAATCAATTTTGTAACCTGTATGAAGATGGCGTTGACCTAGAGCTGAAATTGAATCCGAATTGCGAACAGAAATGAAATGTTCCATTTTTGGATTTGTTTGGCTTATACAGGATAGGGGACAGTCTGCACAGAGAATTTCATATACTCCGTGTTGTTCGCTTAGAATTTTGTCTTTAATTGATCGAAAACGAAATGAAAGTTTTTGTTGGAGGTAAATATTGTCTTTATTCCTCCTGATTTTCTTAATTTAAGAAAAGCTTTCGTATAATGAAGGTCTGAGTCTTTATGTTGAGATTGAATGGGAGGTTGATACCTCTGGATGCTCCTATTGATGTGATTTTAGCGGTACCCGTTTTGGAGGATCTCTGGTATTTAAATTTTTTGGAAATTTTGGATCTCTATTGCTTCCCTAATGACACGTTTGGTCCTATTTTCGATATTGGCTAGTATCGTCATACCATTGAAGTTTATTTTATGTCCTGTGTTTATGACATGTTGAGCTAGGAACGACGTTTTCTTTTTTCTTTCGATGACATTTCGATGTTCCTTTCGACTAACTTGTATTCTTTGATTCGTGTTTAATGTACGATTTATCGCAGTTTTTACACGGGATTCTATATACTCTTTGATTTTCCAATGCAACTTTTGCTTTTGCTGATGGTAATATGGTTGCGATTTTCCTGTCTTGGTGTTAAATAAAGACTCTATTTCATTATTTCTTAAAACTTTGCTAATTTTGTCTTTCGTATGCTTTATATACGGCAGGATAGTTTTTTCGATTGGTTTTTCTCCTTTTTCTAGATATTTACTTTTGTTTCGAGATTTCTGTGCATTTTCAATCGTAGAATTGGAGAAGCCTTTAAAACTGTTTTGGCTTTGTACATTTCTTCATTTTTGTGGTCCTCATCTGTTAGTTTTTTAGATCTTGTGATTAAGGTTTTTATTACCGAATTTAATTGCGCAGAATGATGGTATGAATCTGCCTGTAAATTCGTAAATTTTTCGAAACGTTTTCAAAACAATGGTTTTTATAAAAACCAAAATAACTTAACGTAGAGGCGAATTCAGAAAACCACAGAAATCACATATAGCTCCCGCGTAACTGTGTAAGGGTTGTCGGTCAACTGAGGCAAAAAGAAAACAAGGGATATTACTATTTCATCTCTGCAATGATAAACGTTTGGTTTTAGTAAAACAAAATGTGTATCCATACACATCATCATTTCCAATATACAAACAAAGTTGTCAGACAGGTATAAAAGGTATAAGAATATATATGGCTGAACCATATATCGTTAACGTCAGTTATAAAAGAGTGATAAATTCTTCGAACACATAAAAAAATAGATTACTTAAAAAAGGCACTCTGCCAAAGCAGATGTAGTGATAAAATAATAAATTTTGTGGAAGTATTGAAAACAAAGTTTTTAGTGTCTTATTGTTACATAAAATGAAGTTCCATCAAGTAGCGGTCGAATTCATCAATTATGTATATTGTTAACATCATGTTATAAAACACTTAAGTAAGGCCGCCATAAAGTAGTTTTAGCCACAAGAAAAAAACCAGCACTGTGTGCCTTAGTGGTACATATGTTACACATATATGTAAAAATTTTAATTTTAAAGCGAGGAGATCTATAAGAGCTAAGCACACTTACAGTTTAAACTCAAAAATTTTGTGATAAAATTAGTATGATTTTAAATTTAACTTTAGAAAGCATGGTAAACTAAGTTCATATTATGTAAAAATAGTATCAAAAAGCATTATGTGTAACCTCTACGATTTCTGAAATCGAAAAGATCTCAACATAATAGGAACTAAGGTAAGTGAAGCGATAGGTATCATTGATTGATCTAACAGCCAATTTGAAACATTAAATATGTATTAATCAAAGGTGATGTTATCGGTGAATATGAGGGTGCAATTACTCTTCAGTTTGTTCTTTAAATTATGAATTTTAAATGTTTTTTCTCTATATTCACGAAATAATATCTCTATCTGTGTATATAAGGATTTTAACAGCTGTCGCTACCTTCCTTCTTTCAGCCAACGTCTCCAGTCCTTTCTGTTCTGCCATTCTCCATCTCTAAGGTTTCGTCTTTCCATAGCCTCATCCACTTCATCCCTTCATGATCTTCGGGGTCTAGCTCTTTTCCTTCTTCCTATTGGGCTCCTAGTTAGACAACATTAGCGTAGAATTAATAAAGGAAGGTGAAGACTCCCTATTGAATGCGATAGACGAACTAATAGTGAACATATGGAATAATAAACAACTGCCACAAGACTGGAATACAGGAGTAATTATCCCACTACATAAAAAGGGAGATCAGCTTCAATGTAAAAACTACCGGGCAATAACGCTAGTGACTGTGACATATAAAATACTGTCAAATATTGTGTATGACCGATTGAGACCATATGCGGAACAAATAGTTGGAGGATATCAATGTGGTTTTCACAGGCAGAAGTTCACAATAGATCAGATCTTCGACTGGAGACAAATATTGGAAAATACTAGTGAATTTATTATAGACACACATCATCTTTTCATTGACTTTGAGAGTATATTGACTATGATAGCATCCATCGAGAGTTTCTGATCCATGCACTGAAAGAGTTTAATATACCAACTCAACTCATTGATATAGTAAACAAAACACTTAAAGTACAAAGCAAAATTCGAATTCAAAATGAACTAACAGATACAGTCCATGTGAGAACAGGCCTACGACAGGGATATGCCCTATCCTGTATTCTATTCAACATCACATTAGAGAAAATAATTAGGGAGTCAAAAGTCAACACCAGAGGAACAATAATAACAAAAAGTGTACAAATATTGACATTTACAGATGATGTTGATATCAGAGCTAGAAGCGAAAGAGAGATGATAGACGCATTTCATGCGATAGAAAGAACGGCACAAAACAGTGGCCTAAACATTAATGAAATAAAAACCAAATACATGAAGGCCAGTAAATCGACAGGTCAAAGAAACCTACAGAATCTGACAATACGAGACTATAACATCGAAAGTGTGAAAAGTTTTACATATCTAGGTTCACTAGTTACCGCAGATAACAATATCAGTAAAGAAGTTAAGAGAAGAATTCATATCGCTAATAAAACATATAATGGACTAATTAAACATCTAAGATCTAACAACATCACAAGAAAAACCAAATGCAAAATATACAAGACCCTGATTAAACCGGTCCTTGTGTATGGATCAGAGACGTGGACACTGTCGAAAAGCGATGAGAACCTATTAGGTACATTTGAACGAAAAATCCTTAGACACATATAATAAGGGGGTTAAGGAAAATGACATATGGCGCAGAAGATATAACTTTGAACTATACACAGCATACAATGAACCCGAGATCATAACATTCATAAAGATCGGACGTCTGCGCTGGATGAACCATATTGAACGGATGTTGGAGACTAAAACGCCAAAACATATAATGAGGCAAACACCAGTAGGAAGAAGGTCAAAGAGAATTGAGCTCCAATCCGAAATCTTTGTTATCCACCTTGTATGATTTGTTCTTTTCACATGTCCATACCAAATTAAACGTTTCTCTTCGATGTAACTGAGTATGTCTTGTTCTACTGCCATTCGTCGTTTTATCTCCCTCATTTATGATGCGATCTATTTTTGTCACTCTGCAGCTTCTTCTCATTATTATTACGAAATAATAATTGTATTATAATATTTTAGATTTAAGTAGTTCTGTTGAAACAATGTCCGAGGACGAAGCTATAATTCTAGCAGATGATTCTATAAGTGTACAGAATAATGCTGATGTAAATAATGCTGACCTTATGTACGAAGACTTTTATCAACCAGATCTGTCCACACCGCCAAGGTAATTTTCTTTTCCATTATTACTATGAGGGCTTATTACATTTCTGCATAAGTTTCTAATTCTTTCCATACTGAGATTAATCCCTCTTACAGACATGACTTTCCTAAGCGTCTTCCACAAGCGTGCTTTGGTTTTTATAGCATACTGCTCCTATGCGCTTGCAAATGATCAGTTGTTTATATTGCGTAATTAAAACCCACAATGGAACGGACAGCCACCCTAAGAAGAATAAAACGCAACATTTATTTACTTAACCGTACAATTTATATTATGGACTGACTTATTTTAATTGTAAACGCTTTTATATATTGTTCGCCCATGCTTCCAGATCTCAGTGGAAATTTTTCGGTGCAGTTAGGTTTCGTTTAATTTCGACACCTGAATGTAAACATGAAAGGAAGCAAGATAGGTAGCCAAGATGTCAACAGGATGCCATACTGGTGGAATGCAGACATCGAGGCACTACGAAATGAATGTACAGCAATGGGAAGAACGTTAACGAGAGCAAGAGGCAGAGCAGGGATCAACACTGAGAACATCGAGGATATCGAGGAAGAGTACCGTGTAAAGAAGAGGGAACTTTACAGGAAAATCCGTGCAGAAACAAGACATCACTGGTAAAAGCTGTGTGAAAAGCTGGATGAGGTCATCTGGAGTCAGGGATACAAGATCGTTATGAAGAAGTTCTATGCGTTTCCTCCTTACAAAAGGACTGGGGACAAGAAGCTTGAGGTAACACGAGAGCTCTTTCCGGACGGCATGGTGTATGGAGGGATGAAGCAGCTGAACGGGCTGTACCCTTTACCATGGATAAACTTGCCGAGGTATTGGGTTCACTCAAGACGCGTAGGTCCCCCGGACTGGATCAGATAAAACCTGAGGCGGTGAAGGGTCTAGGACGAGCGGAATCTACGTGGCTTCTGAAATGAATGCACTGCTAGAAGCACAAACCTTTTCTGAGCCTTGGAGGACATCGAGGTTAATATTGCTCTCCAAGGCTCGGGAAAAGTATCGCTCCATCTGTCTTCTTCCATGCATCAGTAAGCTGTATGAAAGGATGCTACGAGTACGTATAGATGACATGATTGAGAGGTCAGGTGGTTTATCTCGGCAACTTGGTTTTTGTAAAGGGAAAAGCACGATTGATGAAATCATGAGTGTACTCGAAGCATTGCGCAACAGAAGGGATGAACATCGCTGGGCGGCCCTGATGTTGTTTGATGTTAAGAATGCATTCAATGCGCTGCAGTGGAACAAGGTAATGAAGGAAATGGAGGAGAAGAAATGTCCTGTTTACCTGATGAATGTGGTGGCGGAGTATCTGTCCGAGAAAAGGATTATGTTGGAAAAGGGCACGATCGGGGACTGACGGGGTTATGCACTGTTAATACGGATAGGGTACAACCCCCTTCCTATTCGCGGATGATCTCGCTGTACTGGTAGTGGCCCGAGATAAGCCAGCTCTTAAATACCAAAGAAACGCGGATGACGCAGCACGCACTTAAGCTTGCGGCAGAGAAAACCGAAGCCATTATTCTGAAGGTGAAAAGAAACAGGCAAAGTGTTGTGAATTACAATGTGCGGGAGCATGTCTAACACCCAAGAAACAAGTAAAGTACGTAGGAGTGACATGCATCAGAACGGAAAATGGGGAGAGCCCGTCCGGAAGGCTGCGAATAGTGCGGCTGCATTGGGAAGTGATGCCCAACATTAGGGGACCCAAATCCGAAAGTAGGAAGGTCTAACACGGTGTTATACAGTCGATCGTCCTCTACGCGGCACTAGTCTGGAGTGAGGCGGTAGAGATAACGGCCAATAGGAGGCTCATGACACAAGTGGACAGAACAAATATATTGCGAATGGCATGCGCCTACAGCACTGTGTCTGCGGCAGGCTTGTGGACTATTACTGGATGTGTTCCGTTGCATGTTTTGACGGTGGAAAGAAAAGAGCTCTATGAGAAAAGAGGCCCAAACCTTACTGTGGCCGAGAGAAGACAGAAAAGGGAAAGGTCAATTAAAAGATGGCAAGAAGAATGAAACAACACGGAGGATGTGGCACACTGGACGAGGATATTGATCCCGAACATAAGAGATTGGGTGGAATGTGGCCACAGGCAACTGGATTATTTCCTGACGCAGGTGCTCATAGAACACAGGTACTTTAGGGCCTACCTCTCTAGGTTTAGAAAGGCTGACACAGATGAATGCCTATACTGTTGACACTCAACATACATAACTATATCGTGCAGTAGTCAAGAAAAAAGAAGAGGAAAAAAGTTGAAGCAAAAAAAATTGATCAGACTGTATGAGTTAGAATGCGTGAGTCAGACTGTGGGGAAGGAGGAAATGTCCGTCTGGGAATGATGCTGTACAGGCAGCGTCTTGGACTGAGATGTCTTTTCAAGATTTCAGATTCCCTTCTATAAAGACGAAAAAAAAAGGTTTTATTTCGATCGTCGAAATATTCAAAAGGTTTTTAGAAACCTCTTGACGTCAGAAAATCATTGGTCTTTATCGAGTGATTTTTTATTGTACTATCAGTCCAATCATCCATCTAAGCCTTCTCATTTTCGCTATACTTTATCTAATTTACTTACCGTTGCACGTCATCCGCGTCATAGCCCGTGAAGTCACATGATATCAGCACGAAATATTTAGACGGTAGGTGTGTTCTTTTTTAGAATCACTTTGCCGAGTACATTGGCATTACAGCCACTAGACATATTTTATTATATACGCGCAGAAATGATATTTAAAGATATCTATTAATGTTAACTTAATGAAATGCACAATAATATGTTTCATTTAATTTGTATAAATGCATTATAAAGCGGTTTTATGAAGAACATTTGTTCGGAACACACTGTCAGTGTAATCGAACGAAGGGGATATTTTGGCATAAATTGGTAACACTTATTTGACAGTTGCGGTGTTGACACTTTTTGTACTTTATTATTTTAAATTTTAAAGTGAATACCTCTTGTTTTATTCTTTTACATAATTAATAAAATTTGTTCTTTTTAGAACAAAATTTATGTGTTTTATTTCAAAAATGTCACCTAAGTATTTAAATAGTCGTTGTACAGAGATGGTAGCTTCTTTGATTCATTATTTTGAACAGAAACCTGATAATAACGGCACCATTCTACCCTTGACTGCTGTTAGAGAAGTATGTAAATGTATGTTTTGTATATTTTTGTAGATGCTTAAAATATACATTCTTGTTTTAGCGTGTAGTTACAGCTTTAAATTTACATATTTCAACTGTGAGTTCTATTTCTCAGCCCTTAAAAACTAGTATCACCGCCCAAAAAACGTACCAGGCCTAAGAAAGTTACCAATACTAATTTAATAAATACAATCGAAATTCGTAACACAATTTACAGCATTTGAAAATTTAGTTGTAACAAAACATTTCAAAGTAAATAAGTAATGAAAAAAAAGTTTTTTTTGTTGAAGTATTCCATTTTACATCTTTATACGACGCATACAAGCGGCTCAAATTATTTTTACTAAGATTATTTTCTATCTCTTGTTTTGTTTCTATTTATTTACATTAAACAGCTATTATTATTAAAATTTTTTATACTTTGGCTACTATGTCAACTTCGATCTCTGTCAATGATGATGACGTGCAATGGTAAGTAAATTAGATGAAATATACATGTATTAATTTTTATATTTTCCCCCTGCAATAGTATTCAAAACTGTGCATAGCTTTTCTTGTGTCAGCTTCACCACCCTAACTGTATTTTGCTTATTATAATTTCGACATATTATCCAGATTTAAAGAATCATCCGAGTCTTCTTCCGAGATAACTTTAAGTTCGAGTTTGGTCGATGAAAGTTCAGAGAGTTCTATAGCAGAAGAAGAACAAAAAGAAGATGCAACTTCCTCAGGTTGGTTTATCCCAAAGAAAACAATTATGGATGTTTCTTGTCCTAGTAAGGTTTTTGATGTTGAACCCGAAGAAAAGATCGAAGAACAAAAGGAAGAGGAAATACTACAGGTAGGAAAAACTTTAAGAGCGGCTTTAATTTAGTGCATCGAAATAGCAAAGATTAATTGTAACCTGAATATTAATTGATTAATTTATTATTAATGTTGTTTTGGTTGGTTTTTTATTATTATTTGTTCATATATTTGCTTTATTAAAAGGTTCATTCTGTCCACAAAAAGATTTGTTATCTGCAGGAAACGTAGGGGAATGCTGATCACAGAGTATCTAAGATCTGACAGGATACTACTGTAACGAGTTATCGTCAAACATTTGTAGACAGTTTATTAACAGGGTTACGAGGACCAGAGGGTAAAGGGCAACGACTCATTGTCACACTTAAGAGTGCCTTTTTAAACGAAAGTGCATTAATTTTTTTATCCAAAAAACCGAGAATTATCATAAAGACATGGACGACCAACGCTTTGAAAAATGGTTTGAATTTCTTGTTTCATGAGTCGAGCCAAATTCGATAATAATGATGGATAACGCTTCTTATCAGTAGAACATCTGCCTACTATGGCCACCAGAAAAGCAGACATACTTATGTCCTAACCAGATTTGGTTAGGACATAAAGGAATTCCATTTTCCGAGGATATGGTTATAAGTGCAATTAGACAGCATCGTGGCAGACATCGCCAGCATGTGTAGAGATGCAATGGCTCGTGCAAAAGACATCACTATTTTGAGTCTTTGTTCTCACCATTGCGAGTTAAAACCGATAGAATTAATCTGGGCTCAAGTAAAGGGTTACGTAGCTCTTGAAAACATAACATATGAAATTTATGATATCCAACGTTTGTCAGAACTTGCAAAGGAATGAATACGTAAAGAAGATTTTGCTAATGCCGTAGACCATGTGGTAAAGAAAGGAGAGAAAATCTGAAGATTTGACATGATGGTAGATACGGCACTGCTTTCGACAAAATAATAATATTCTTAAGTATGACTGGGAATTCCTCTTCGGACGAGTCGCTGAATTCAGAAACTTCATAAGCGTAACGTAACTAATTATTTCTTTGCATTGTAGTTCTCCATCAATTATTTTTCTCCTATAATTACTTTGTAAAGTTTTCTGGTTTTTTAAACCCTTTAATCCTATTTCATAAAAAATGACAAATTATAATTAAATTTTTATCACAAAGTATTTTTTGAGGTTGCTTCTATATATGCCACTAACCGTCCTGAAAACCCAATAACATCTATAGCTTGGTGGCTAGCCATATAGCCACTTATTTTTTATATAAATAAATCACAAAAATGTTTCAAAATGTATTTATTTAAAGATGAGACAAATTAAGACGAGAAATTCACAAACATAACATATTACAAATTCTAAATTGCGACTGTTCAAAATAAAAATCTACCCAGTTTTATGAAATTCTGCGAAACATTCTAAATACAGACCAACATTACAGTCACTAAATGCTATTTTGGATCTCTTTATATTTGATTTGGTGGAGCAACGTGCACATCGCCTATACTTCCCTTTTACTGGTAAATGTACCACAATATTCGTTTTTCTAGTAACATTATTGGTAGAAATAGAACGTCCATCAATTTTACGCATTTTGTTTTTGCTTGTAGTAGTTGGCGCACCTCTTTGTTTTCTGTCGGAAATATTACCAATTGGTAATTACCAATTACCAATTGGCTGGTATCGATCCAAATTGTAAATGAGACATGGCTTTTTTTCTTTCAGCGGACATTTATGTTTTGTACATTATATATGCGTTCACAATCGCAAAATCTAAAAGGTAGAAGAAATTTTCATCCACCATTTACGCCTTTTCCATGAGATGGAGTAGGAAGCAAGGTATTGATAAAAAAGATCAACGCCTCCCATGAATTTGTTGTATTCAGCTACTGATTGTGGACAGGGTACTTTCTTTTTTTTCCTATTTTGTTTGTTCGAACAACATCAACTTTCAATGAATGATCATAAAGAGAACTAATTACGACCTCACACTTTTTGCCTCTGTCATGCCATTTGCAAACTGATGTTCCACTGTACTCATCTCAAAATCATATTCGCCCAGTTTTAGTTGGTTATCATTTAGCAAAAGGTTCTTGGGATAATGCTTTCTATTTATTCTGAAAGTACCACAGGCAAATGTATTCTTATGTAGTAAATTGAACAGCAAGTCAATTGTGGAAAAAAATATTAAAGTATGAAGCATAACCTTTGAAATGGTATGGCTCGCTCAAATGCACAACAGTTCTGCGACTGGTTTCATTTCCTTGATATATTTAAATGAAAGCATATAACCTGTTCGTGCACAGGTTATAAGCCTCGTTTAACAGGCTTCATGTATTGCTTCAAAGTTAAGCGCCCCTTGAAGCCTACCATGCTTTCATCTATTGAAGTGGAAATCGACGACATTGCAGAGAAATCCACAAAGAGATGTCGACTGCTCAAACGTCTCACAGCAACAAAGTGGGGCGTCACGCAATATGTCCTGGTAGCAACATACAAAACCTATATCCGGCCGATATTAGAATATGGGAGTGAAGCTACAATAACTGCGAGTACAAATACCACCTCCAAGCTCGAAGTCGCCCAGAACACTGCCCTTCGCGTCATCACCGGTCCTCCAAAATCAACACCGATTACATCAATGAAAGCCCAGACCGGTATTGAACCAATACAATGCCGCAGAGAGCAACACGCGTTAACCTTCTGGAAAGGCAAAGACGAATACTTCCACAAAAATGGGACGAATATAGACAAGCAGCCTCACGTCTAAAAACACAAACCACTCCGCTTACAGTAGCAAACCAAATCATGGAGAAATACCACATTGTCCTGTCGGAAGCCGCCCCCTTCCCAGCGCAAACCAAACTGGCCCGCTGTCTACCAAACACAGAATTACTGCTTGAAAACCATAACGACCCGAAGCACTTATCGTCAGACATTGCCCTAAGGAAAGCCGCCCTAGAGACGATACACACCAAGTAACCAGCACATGAGTGGCTCCACATCTAGTGCGATGGATCCTCGATGCCGGACTCGGGAAGAACAGGAGCAGGATATGTCTCAACGTTCTTCAAAGGCTCTATAGCTGTGGGTACCCCTCTCACCAACTACGACGGCGAAATTGCTGCTATACATAAAGCCGCAAAAAATCTTTAGAATTTCCAACACCCCTAAAAGTTGCCTTCTTCATCGACTGCCAAGCCGCAATCCTCGCCCTGTCGACAAATCGATACACCGACTGTGCCAAAACAATATCTTGCCGCGTCCAACTATCGAACTTGATGGAAAAAGGGTGGCTGATTACTCTACAATGGATCCCTAGTCATGTCGGCTGTTGAAGGAAATGAAGCGGCGGATGAACTTGCAAAAGAAGGCACTACTCTTCCACAGCCCCCTAGCTTCCAATCGTACACATCATCAAAATACACCATTAGAAGAGGAATCAAAGCGAAGATAAAAGAGCAGCAAATACAAGCCGGTGCTGGAAAATCTTGGGCCCACCTAATAGAGTCACCAATCCCTCGCAACTTGCCGAGACCCATTAGTGTAGCCGTGTTCAGCAACAACTACGGGGCATGACTACCTGGACTCCCATCTACATCGCATCGGCGTCCGCGAAAATGACAACTGTCCACTATGTGATCAGCCCCAGATGGATGCTGCTCACCTTCCAAAGTGCCCAGCCCTGAAAACAGACCCACCCGAGGAGGATGAAGATCGCCTACGAGAAACGGCTCGTCTATACTGGTCAGCGCGCCACCAAATGGCTAACATGCCAAGGGTGGGCGTTGGCTAGTAAGTAAGTAAGTAAGCTTTAATCTATTGAAAGCTCTCTGGATGGTGAAAATAAAAGTTTAAATTCTGTATTTAGATGGTAGACAAGTGGTCTCAACTTATGAAGTTTATCACAGGTTATTTTCATATTTTTTTGGGCATTTTTCATTGTCGTTCAAATGGATAAGAAGTAGAATCGCTAAAAAACGCTGTACGCTTATAATATTTGCGATTCTATCCACTCGAAAATTTTGATCATAAGACCAATACATTCTTATCACAGGAAGTTGATGAAATCCCATGATTATTAGGATTCCAAAAAAAGCTTGGAGTTCGTCTATCTCAATTAAAAAATTATGCCTATTTTGTCTTGCATACAGATTTTTTTCCTCAATAATCTTGTTTAGTAACTCATCTGAAAATATTTTTTTAAATATTTCTACAGGGCTTGTTTTATGTTGGGAAAATTTGATTTTTGAAATTATCCTGAAATTGTGGGTTATTCTTCCATTTCATCGAAAAATCGCTTGCTAAATTAGTGGTGCTTTCTTCAATCTCGGGTTGATCTTCTAAAAATATGGTTCGGCTTTGCATCTGTCGGATCTCGAGTTCTGGTAAACCGAAATCTTCGAGTTCGAAATATTTTGAAGTTTTCTTTTCAGGGACATAGTTCTTGTCACCAATTGAGTCAGTCGAGTCATAGTCCATATCCGATTCCGATTTCTCAAAACTTATTAATCTTTTATTTCTTACCCTCTGCCTGGAACGATGGGATGGGCCAGGTGTCGAAGAAGTAGATGGATCAGCTATTGAAACATTAGATGAACGGAGTGTACTAGAACCGCTATGTGCAGAGAATAGCACATTGTCTTCGGCGTCGCTATCCCCCCCCAATGTCAGATATTTCAGCTATGTCATCTGTAATGCCCTCGATGAACTTATATAGCTGATCAGCAGATAAACGTTCTAGTTCCTCAATAGTCATGTTGTCTCTATTTAATCATTTTCTGCAACAAAAATAAAATAAAATCACGGCAAGTTCTCATAACACAAAACATAACCAAAAATAAGACAAAGAGTCTAAGAAACTCACAGGAGTTCCTCAGTGCATATCTTGTTTCAATAAAATGCTGCAGAAATTGAGTTTTAAATTATTATGCAATGAAAATTATACTTACAATTAGTTGTAATATTAATAATTTGAGCACAACACAATAAAACGTACAACAGCTACACTTGCTTTGGAAATTAGACAGCAGCTCGCAACGGTTAGTGGCACACATAGAAGAAAATTGCATCTTATTTTGGAGGGGGAATGGAAATTTGCTTCTATAGAAAGCAGTGAGCGTTGCGCGGGAAATAAACAGCTATTACCGACCATAATCACTTGAATATACGTTTCTTAATGGACTGTACTGTAAGTGGCTTCTATTGTTGCAACTAACTGTTAAAGGGTTAAGTACTGTACTAGACCCTTTATAATATCTATTAAATTTTACTTTATTTTGATAGAGAACTATAAAATTCCTGTCAAGACACATGATAATTTAATAATCATATCGGTGTAAGATTTAATTTTTACGTAATTACTCACATGTTTAAATAAATAATTCAAATAATCAAAGTTTATAAGGGGAATTTCGTTTGGTCGCTTTAAGTGCGATGTTACCAATTCTTTTCTTCTTCTAGTTCCATGACCGTTATCGATCGTTGGATATCATGTTGGCTACCATATTCGCTATCGTGACTTTATTGACAGCAGCTCTAAATAACGATGTAGTTGATTTTCCATACCATTGCCTTAGATTTTTCAGCCATGATGTTCTTCTTCTACCAGGACCACGATTACCTTGGATCTTTCCCTGAATGATCAGATGTAAAAGATCATATTTTTCAGGGTGTCTCATAATATGACCGAAGTATTCCAGCTTGCGTTTCTTTATTATATTGACCAGTTGTGTTGTTTGGTTCAGCCGTCTAAGGACCTCCTCATTTCTAACTCTGTCGACCCAGCTTATTTTCAGTAGTCGTCTGTATACCCACATCTCAAAGGCTGTCAAGCGTTTAAGCATAGCCTCAGTTAGGGTCCACGCTTCTACTCCATACAGCAGGACAGGAAAGATGTAGCAAGATATCATACGAACTCTAAGGTCAATGCTAAGATCATGACTGCAAAGTACGTTTCTCATTTTTACAAAGGCAGCTCGGGCTTGTTCTATTCGGCTTTTAATTTCTGCGGTTGGATCCCAGCTCTCATTGATATTACTGCCGAGATACACGAGTTTCTCTACTCTGTCCAGTGTGGCATCTCCGACTTTTATACCGTCATCATGTATATAATTTTGTTTGCTAACTATCATATATTTAGTTTTCTTAACGTTGAGTTTTAATCCATACTGATCACAAGTCTGTTTTATTTTGTTCATTAGATTTTGAAGGTCTTCTCCGCAATTGGCAAGGACTAAGGTATCGTCGGCATATCTAATATTGTTGACGGTTACTCCATTCACAATAATACCTTCGGTTGTCTCCATTAAGGCTTCCTTAAATATTTCCTCCGAATATAAGTTAAAAAGTAAAGGCGACAATATACAGCCTTGTCTCACTCCTCTTTTTATATTTATTTCATCCGACAGTTCTTGTTCAACCTTTATTCTTGCCACTTGATGCCAGTATAGATTTGTAATTATTCGTAGATCTTTATCGTCCAATCCAGCTGTTTCCAATATTTCTAGCATTTTGTTATGTCGGACTTTGTCAAAAGCTTTTTCAAAATCGATTGCACAAATATACACATTTTGATTTATATCTCTGCATCTCTGTACTAGCACCTGTATACTAAACAAGGCTTCTCTTGTACCCAAGCCACTCCTAAACCCAAATTGAGTATTGCTAATTCTGTCCTCTAACAGCGTATAAATTCTGCTGTGTATTACTCGCAGAAAGATTTTCAAAACGTGACTCATCAGACTTATTGTCCGATAATCACCGCATGTCTTTGGACGATGTTTCTTAGGTATTGTGACAAATGTCGACTTTAACCAATCAGTTGGTAATATCCCAGTGTCATAAATTCTGTTAAAGAGATTACACAGAGCTTTAATTCCATTTTCTCCCAAAAACTTTAGTATTTCAGCACTTACTTCATCGGGGCCAAGTGCTTTTCCATTTTTTGCCGTTTGTATTGAACGTCTTACCTCACTTTCTGTTATAGATGGACCTGATATAGCAATCGGTGTATAGTGTTCTACTCTCTCATCTTCAAATAATTCAGAAATGTAGTTTTCCCATTCTTTTAACTTTTCATTGATGTCTAATATTCTGTGTCCGTTTCTGTCTTCTAAACTTTGGGATACTTGTTTCCATTTGTTTCCAGCGACCTCTTTCAATTTCTTGTGCAGATGAAATGTATCGTGTTTCTTTTCATATTGTTCAATTTCATTACATTCTTTACTATGAAATTGTGTTTTCGCGTGTCTTATCTTCTGCCTGATTATTGCGTGGATCCTCTTGTATTCGTTTTTATCTTTATTTCTGACTTCTCTTCTTTGATCCATAAGTCTCAGTATTTCTTCTGTCATCCACCCTTGTTTTTTTCTTGCTTTTAGCGCACTCAATTTTGTTTCTTGAACAGTCTTTAAGATGTCTTTAATTCTCGTCCAGTTTTCCTCAGTACTTTCTTCTTTGCTTGATGTTAACTTCATCTTTTGTTCTAATATACTAGTTATTTCTTGTTTTACAGTATCATTTAGCATCGTTTCTCTATCAATAGTAACTGTTTGCTTATTCGTCCTTGCAACTCTTTTTAATCTCAGTCTTATTTTTCCTACTAAAATATTGTGATCTGTTGGTACATCTGCCCCTGGATATGTTTTTACTGATAATACTGAATTTCTGTATCTCTTATTTATACATATGAAGTCTATTTGGTTACGAAAAACTCGTTCAGGTGTATCTGCTGGTGATTTCCAGGTGTAAAGACGACGTTTTGGAAGTTTGAAAATTGTGTTCATTATTACTAATTGCTTTTCTACGCAAAAAGATGCCAACATATCTCCTCTTTCATTTCGTATTCCCAGACCATATTTCCCTATGACATCTTCCTGTTCACCTTCACCAATCTTTGCATTAAAATCTCCCATGATAATATTGAGATCGTGTTTCTTTGTAGGTGCTAATACTTTTTCTAAATCATGATAGAATTTTTCAATTTCTTCTTGTTCATAGTCTTGTGTGGGTGCATATACTTGTAATATGTTCACATTGATTGTTGTTGATTGTATTTGTATCATCAGTATCCTGTCTGAGAATAGGACGACGTTTTTTACAGCTTCATCTGTTTCCTTCGACACAATTATTGCTACACCATTTTTGTGTTTTGAGCTGTCTTCTCCTGAATAGTATACAATGTGGTCATCTACAGTTACTTTTCCAGACCCCGGCCATCTCATTTCACTTATTCCAAGGATACTTATATTTAGACGCTTCATTTCTTTAATGGTGTTATGAATTTTTCCTGGTTCGTACATGCTTCTTACATTCCATGTACCTATTTTTCTTTCTTTAGAAAATGTGTTCATGTTTCTAGCTGACCGGGAGATTCTTAGCACCCCTGCTCCATTTAAGGAGCGCCCGTACTCGGGGCCGTTGTATTTATTAGTCATTTCCATGATTGTTTCTTGGGAAAATTAGACAATTTTCTCAAAATTTTTCTCATGTTGCCAATTAATCACCTCTAATTGAAAATTGTTTTGGTTCAGTATAATTTTTTTCTAATATCTAAATCATGTCAAATCATATATTCATTTAAATACATTTTAGAGCTGGTTTGAGTATCATTTGTGGCAGCTCAGAATCGCAAATATGAACGATCCTAACACTGGATGGTTAGCTGCTTCTGATATAGCCCTCACACAAAGCAAAACGATTTTGAAGAAACCGACAGCTGAAGAAGCGAAAGAACAGCTAACTGGATTTTTACTGGAGACGAAAGAAGAAATAAAAGAGATGCAGAGGAATCAGTTTGTGAACACTTGTATACTGATGGCAATTAAGCAAATTGTTAACGAATTGTAAGATTGTATTCTTTTTGAAGTTCTTACTATTATTTCAGTTATTTAATTTCTTCTAGTATTTTTACAACTGTTGCATCTGTTGATAAGCTTCTGTTTTATTTCTATATATATTTTGGACATAGCATTTCTTCTTTCATTATGACTTTTAGATTTCATCTCTGTTAACTAATGATATCAGAAAAATAGTAAATCTGACAACATTAAAACATCAAATTTCAACTCTTCATATTGCAAGATACGTGTATCCCTGTTTTTGTATAACTTGGACCATCCAGTTAAGAGATAATTAGGAAGGGTGGGCAAAGTGGCCATGCTAAGGAATGTTTGTTTTTATCTTAAAGAAAATAAGTAAGAAACACATTATATAATATATATATATATATATATATATATATATATATATATATATATATATATATATAATATATATATATATATATATATATATATATATATATATATATATATATATATATATGTATATAGCGAGTGTTTGCAACTTTAATTTTGTCGCTTCTCGCATCCCAATCGCCATAAAGTCTTATCGGCCCAGTCTCCTTCTTGAAGACCTCTATTTTCCATTTCTATATGAATATTGGATATCCATTTCTTTCTTGGCCTTCCCCTTTTATTTCTCTGTGTAGGTCTCCAGTTCCAAACCTTTCGTGGTATCCTTTCTTCGTTCATCCGTCTCAGGTGTCCATACCATTTTAATTGTTTTTCGGCTATCGTATCCATTATTGTGTTCTTTACTTTCATTCTCTCTCTTATGTTTTCATTTCTTATGTGGTCAAACAAAGTTAACCCGGAACATCTTCTCCAGTACATCATTTCCGTTGAGAGGAGTTTTTGTGACATATTCTTGTTAAAGACCCATACTTCTGACCCATACGTCAGCACCGGCTGAATCATAGCCTGATATATGTTTTTCTTTGTTTTCTTAGTTAAAGTTTTATTCCACAGGATCGGATGTAGTGTTTTTTATCATGTTTTTTCCTTTTCCTATTTTTCTTGTTATATCTTTGTCGTCTCTCCCGTCTTCGCTTAGTGTAACTCCGAGATATTCGTACTGATCAACGTTTTTAATTAATCCGCTTTCTGTTTCCATGTCTTGACCGATGCCTCCTATATTCATGTATTGTGTCTTTTCGGTATTAACCTCTAATCCCCATTTTTTGAATTCGTCTATTAGTTTGTTTATCATGTACGTCATATCTTGTAGGTCCTCGGCAAGAACTACCTGGTCGTCTGCGAAGAGGATTGTGTATATAGGAGTGTCATTTACCCATATGCCCATTGGGCTGCATTTTCTCATCCAATATTTTAAAGCATTACCAAGATATATTTTAAATAGGGTTGGGGAGAGGCAAGAGCCCTGTTTGACACCCTTTGTTTGGGTGAAACCCTTGGAAATTTGTTTTCCAACCTTAATATAAGCTTGGTTATCTTGATATAGCTTTTTCACGGCATTTATATATACTGCATTTATACCTGCGTTTTCCAATGTTGTCCATAGTCTCTGCAGTGGTACGGAGTCAAACGCTTTACGGAGATCTATAAAAGTGGCATGAAGTTCTAGTCCTCTTGCTAATATCTTTTCTATTAGATGTTTGAGAGTAAATACATTGTCGACACAAGATCTCCCTGGTCGGAATCCACTTTGTTCTTCGATCTCTGTGGCTTCTTTTTCTATTCTGGTTTTCAGAACTCTTTCATACAGTTTGCCAGTGGATGACGTAATGCTGATACCTCGGTAATTACTGCAGTCATTCCTGTTTCCCTTTTTGTAGATGGAGTTTATGTACGAGACTTTCCAATCTCTTGGGATACTTTCTCCTTGTAGGCACTTGTTAAACATTTTACAAAGCAATTCTAATGTTATTGCACTGGCATGTTTGAATAACTCGATAGGTAAATCACCCGGCCCAGGAGCTTTATTATTTTTCATTTTTTGTAATGCGTTTTTTTATTTCTTCTACGGTAATCATCGCCACTTCATTTAACCCCGTTTCAACTATATCTATATGTGTGTCTAGAAACTGTGTACGTTGTTCATTTAATAGATTTTCGTAATAATTTTTCCATCTTTCTATGTCTATGGGGTTTATTTTTTTTTTGTTTCGTTTGTATTTTTTCTAAGACTGTTGATAGTTTTCCAAGCTTGTCTGGACCTAGATCCTCCTACCATTGAGCTTATTTCTGCACACTTGTTGTCCCAGGTTATGTTTTTTGTTTTTTTAATTTTCTTTTTTACTATATATTTGTATCTGTTATAGTTCTTTCGGTCTTCCTCATCTTTTGTCGCTAACCATTTAAGATACAGTTTTTTTTTTCTTCTACCAGTTCTAATAAACCTTCTGTCCACCAATAATTTCTACGTTTTACTTTTTCTTTCGTACCTAGAGCTTCTAATGCTGCTTCATGAATTTTGATTTTCAAAGTCTCATACATTTCTTCCGCTGTTCCGTTTATTTCTTCGTCTAATTTTTGTGCCAAACGTAGTTTATAGAGAAAACTTGTGGACTCATTTTTTAAGCTGTCTATGTTATAGAGCCGTATGGATTCTTTGTTTGTCTGTTCTTGGGATTTATGTTGTTTAATATATCTTATTTCCACGGGTGCCTTTACTAGTAGGTGATCCGATCCACATTCTGCCCCTCTCCAAACTTTTACATCGTAGGGTCTTAAAGATGTCTCTTGTTTAACTACTATATAGTCTATAATTGACTGCAGTTTTCTTGTCTTTTGAGTCCATGTATATTTATTTATGTCTCTATGTTTGTAAAATCCATTCAGTATTTTTAACGAATGTTGTTCGCATACCTCCAACCATCTTGTTCCGTTCTCATTTACTACATCTTCTCCGTGTTGTCCAATTATTTTGTTGTCAAGAGCTTTACCTACTCTTCCGTTCAGGTCCCCTAGCAGGACTATTTCTTGTCTTTTTTTTATTTTATTTAACTCTTCTGAGAGTTTGTCGAAGAACATGTCTTTAGTGTTTGTATCTGAGTCGTCCGTGGGTGCATAGATGCCAATTATTTTTATGTCTCTCCCCTTTGTTGTAAGGTCTACTGTTATAATTCTTTCGTCTATCGGGTTCCAGTTGGTAATACATTTTTCCATGTTTTTTCTTATCACGACCGCTACTCCAGCTTTGGCTCTTTTTGATTTTTCTACTCCGCTCCAGAAGTATATATAGTCGTGTTTGTAGTGGTTCCCCTGTCCTTTCTTTTTTGTTTCGCTGAGTACTGCGATGTCAATTCGGTATGTACTGAGTTCCTTAAATACTTGATCTTCTTTTGTATTCAGTCCTTGTATGTTCCAACATCCAAAATTCGTTAGCCTTTTTCTTTGCCTATGTCGTTTTCCTTTGAAGCCATTACATTATATAATAACATACAATATCCTATAATTAGCTTCATAAGGTAATTTTAATTTTTTTTTTTTTTACTTTATCTCGGAATTTTTTTTTTTTTTTTATATAATAACATACGATATCCTATAATTAGCTTTATAAGGTAATTTTAATTTTTACTTTATCTCGGAAAATTTTTCAGATACATATTTTTTACCCTACCCCTACCAAATGGCCACTTTGCCCTGCGGAGTGGGACAAATTGGCCATGATGTGGCCACTTTGCCTGATGTTAAATACATATTTACAAACCTCACAAATAAAGTCATTGTCTCCTTCTTCACACCCGGGCACAAGCTTCATGTGCCCATCGTAAACAGCCCGAACACTTTATCCAACCTTCATTTTCCCTTGATTTTGAATATAAGTCCCCGCAGAAAAGGCAATCTGTATCACTCACGTCACTGTTGGAATCATTAAATAAAGCACGCTTCGCTGATTTTGATTTCGTTTTCTGCTTTCATCTAAATTTTTCTTTACTTCCTTCATTCCTCGTTACTCTGCTTTCCCTGTTGCTAATTAAATCACATGAAGTACTTAAATAAGGCAGTGGACTGGGCTGGAATGTTGAAGTACTTGGCTTTGGCGAGTCTTTAGAGATTAGAACGAATGTAGAGTTTGGATACCTAGATCCTACAGTGCCATTTTGTCTGAAGTTATTGAAAAACAAGGGAACTGAAGAGTTGGATGCAGAGGTTGCTGATCGGAAATCTATTTCTCCAGAAGGCGGGTTCTCTTTACTTGCAAGTGGTGTCTCTTGCATTGAGTGATTCCTCACGTCGAGGAATACTTTATTGCGAATCTGCCTAATCTTTTCCTTGCACCACACCAGAAGTTTCCTCTAGGTATTCAACACCCAGTCCTTGATTTTCTGCTTCCTAAAGAGAGATAGAATCTTGCACGGAAATTTCTGTCGTCATGACTGCAGCAAAATCCGAGTCAGTAAACTTCTGTCTGTTTATAGGAACTACGCCGCATTTTCCAAACCCCTTTACTGCAATAGTTGGAGCAGCTGCAAATGAAAATGGCTCTCCAAGAAGTTTAGATGCCTAATACTGTGTCAATAATCTACCAGGATTATTACGCAAGAATCTTTCAATATCTTGGACATAATCAGTATTAAAGAGCCCCAATGAAAGAAACATCGAGTGGCTGCAGCTTATGACTACAGTGGGGGAAACGCAAACTACAATTTTGTAATTTTCACTAGCCGTTCAATAAAATCTAGATTTTTCGTATGGGTGGAATGTCCATCAAGTATGAGCGAAACTAAGTCGTCTTCGCATGGCTTCGCAAACTTCAAGAAATGGTCAAACCATTGTGTAAAAATCTCAGTTTGCATCCACACTGAAGGATGACAATCAAAAGCTGTTCCAAGCGGAGCGTTGTCTTGAAGTTCCACTTTCATCCGCTGTCTAGGGAAGATGATAAAAGGAGGAATAAAAATTCGCCCAGCTGACATAAAAATTACAAATGTGCCGATAACACCTCTCTCTTTTAGAGCAAAAACCTTTGGAGACTTTGAATGGACAGTCATCAGTCCAGTTTCATCAACATTGTAAACCTTATGAGAAGTGATGTT